TTACATTATCACAGTTAGGTTTTATTTCTGACATCAATAATTCAGACAACTTAAGAAAAATGCCATCGATGGATCTTACCTGTAAGTCGATTTCTTGACTGAATCGTACTACCGGACGAGCTATATTTGTGGCATATGTCGTGACCATTTCTCTGAAATTGTCTGGGGATTGTTCCTGTCCTTATAAGAGATGGGGACGGTAACTCTTGTCAAACGTATTGTATTCCCGTTATGTAGAGCACACATTATTGCTATGTCATACATTGAAAATTCACAAAGCTTGACATACAAATTCTTTACAGTTTCCATTTTATCTAGGGGAAATCATTTTCTTCTCATGTTCATTATACGGTTTCGTCATCTGTGACAAATTAGTGGTACGTTGTCTTCGAACTGTTTCATATACATAAATACGACCATCGCCGTCCGAATGCGCCTCTCTATCCATCTTTTCTGTAATGTGAAAATCGAGAATTAATTGGACACACAAATGGTGTTTTAATCCGTTTTTAGCAAGTCATATTAGTGCGTTTACCATAGTTTGTATTTTTCGTATAATGCTCATCATGATTCGGATCCCTCAGCGGAGTTCGGATCAGGATACCCGATGTGCACTATCTTCTTCATTTTTATACAATGATAAATACAGTATACAACCTAAATTTGGCTATGTAAAGTTGGAAATTAACAGGTACCAACATGGAAAGCAAAACACAAATATGATGCCATATGCTAAAATGGTCCATATTTTTTGCAATTCGTCTAGCCGGTTATTCGAAGTACTTCTATACCAAGTTTAAAACAGCAGGTCCAGTGTAGGTATATTAAATACAGAGAAACTTCTTTAGTACCAATATGACCTTTGACCTTCATAATTATTTCAAGACTTGCAATTCCCCTTTCTGTATTTGTATTTTTAATCTGAAAGACATCTTTCTTGATTTAAAAAAAAAACTCTTGAAAGAAAAAGTAATTAATGACATTGTTCAAAGATTTATCATTGTTTATAATGTTTGAATGTTAAGGAATTAACGCTATTTTGATATGAATATTTGATTGATTATTTACCGTTACGTGGCCTAAGTTAGCCTAGCCTTTAACAAGTAGAAACACGAATAAATAATTCATACAGACCCCTGTGACATTTTAAACTTATTTAATTGATTACAAATAAATATCCGAAAACAATCTTTTAATTTAATGAAGCGTTAAATATGAATGTATTTTATTTTCATTGTCTTCTAAAATAAATACTATTAAACAATAGCATCACGTGATTTTAGAATATAATATTAGAAAATAACTTCCTTGTAGGATTATTAATTTTTAAACTGTAAGGTTTGTTTTGATTTATGATTATTGGTTCCTTAAGTTAATCTACATAATTATCTAAAGCATCATTGTTACACATACGTTCACTTTTTGAAAATTATTTTTGACATAGGTACTTTCGTTTCGATTTAAAAACACATGGAGGATAATTTAGAAATTTTACTGCTATTTTTCTGTGACATTTCAAATTAACCCCTTCATGCCGGTAGACAAACTTTGCAGAATCTTCCCATATAATGTATTGTAAATATTTGCCACTATACGTAAGAAAACATCAATCAGTCGATGAATTGATCTCCCAATTTCAAAATATTAGTCTGAAGATTTATTTTCTCTTCGTTATTTCTTAAAGATTGATCGATGTTTATGTAGTTATATTGTCCATGTATAAAGTTTTGTTCTGAAAGTCGACGAATGGGCCTTGTCGGCCGAATATTCAAAGTAGTTCATCTACGATGAACACTAGCCTGTCAACTCTGAGGTTGTGAGTTTGAACCTCGCTCGCTTCGATCTTAATTGACAAGAATTTGCAATTTTCCTGTTGATGGTCGATGGTTCCTTCTGGGTACTCCGACTTCCACCAAAAACATCCGCCCGACATGATAAAACCAAGGTAGCTGAAAGTGGTACGAAACACCAACAAATAAACAAATTCAACCGTCACTTGTCCATCGACCCTGATACAGTATCCATAACTGATGTGCACATTTAAAATTATTATCTCTAACCGAAAGTCGACTAAGGAATAAAGTATTGCATCGAATTATATACTATCAATGTATGTTTTAACAAACCTTTTAATTGACTATTGTCTATGATAAACTTTATTTTTTGCACCAAATAAGTTTCGGAAACTGCAAAAGAACCTGATTGGGGAAAATGTTTTCTTCAATACATGATGTTTGTGTTATATTCAAAATTTGTCTTTAAAAAAACGGAAATGTTGTATGATTGCCAATGAGACAACTAGTCACCTAAAATGAGTTCAAATGACGTGGATGAAAGCAATCATAGGTCACCGTACGGCCTTCGAAAACGAGAAAACACATGCCGTATAGTCAGTTATAAAAGACCCGACATGATAAATGTGAAACAATTCAAACGAGAAAACTAACGGTCTACTTTATGATAATTCAATTTGCAAAAAAAAATATGACAAGACATGAACCAAAGACAACCACTCGATTATACAGGCTCCTGACTTGAAGCAGTCACATAAAGAATGTTGCGCGGTTAAACGCATTTGTGAGCACTCAACTCTCCCCTAATCATGGACAGTGGTGTAACAGCACAACATAAGAACAAAATAGATCGGCACGAAGCTAGTGTAAAGCCAATTAAAACTAATAAACAAATCATGTTCTCCCCGACTAAAGTATCAATCAGTACACATCCATCTGATTTGGTTAAGATACGTCATAAACAGTCTGAGAAACGCATGATCTTGTACAATATGCCAAAATATAAGTAAAAGGTATCGATAAGATGTAAGATCATGAATACTCATAATTGTACTTATCGGTCGTCCCACTGTCTGTATCACTCTGCTCAGTTCTTAATAAAATTACATACCCCGGCTTTGTGACGTCAAATACGTTGACACGGCCTTAATAACTTTGACCCCGCCGTAATACATGAACCGACGTTGATAAGTTTGAACCGAACTTAAACTTAGGGAGTTCCATGAACTCCAATAGAGATAGTATGTGTGCGTCGACAGGGCAAGTGTTTCCTGAGATACATGCATTACCCGCCATGGGAATTCACACTCGGTCATATGTTCACAAACGGAAAGTCCCATCAAATACATTTTGTAGATAGACAGGTTTTAAAAAGAAGTATTGCTATTTATATCCACTAGAAATGAAAATCAATTACAAACGTTTAAAAAATATAAAATTATCAAATTATATATAAAATACAAATGTTAAAAATGAAATAAACAATGGATAATTTTTAATGGAGATTAAGAAATTAAACCCGATATGTAACTTCAATTGAATTATTCTTTCGAATATCTACAAAATCTTACAGTGTAATAATACGGTCGAAGATTTAACTTACAATTGCAAAGTACATATTAACAGACTGATTATTTTTATTTTTTTAAAAGCATACATGACTTAAACTAGTATGACGAATGGGGACTATAAAACGTACTTTATCGACTATGGTCAACAGCCTAATTGGTGTATCAATCCTTTTCTTTCTTCTTTCTTTAATTCTTTCTTTTTCTTTTTTTTTTTTGCCTTCGACACAAACGTAAACATGTTTTGCCCCTCCTTCTCTCTCATTGTGAAAAGTTTCCATACTAGCTACACGGATTGGTTATATAGTTCATTTTCATAACTTAGATACAGGAATACGTTATTTAGTTTGAAATATTACCTTTCTTCAGTGAAAAGCATCCATGTTCTTTTCATGAGACAATGTATCGGTGTTGCTAAATTGAAATGCTTAAAACATTGAATATAAGTACATAAGTCTGGTTGGATATTGTGTTATGTCTTATCGTTTGTGGTTTGAATTCTATTTTTATTTTCTGTGTGTATGTAATTGTTGAGATAATTAATCAGCTATTTCATTTATATGATTTTTAGTTAAAAGCAACTATATACACAGGATTTTTTTATTTATACATAGTTTTGATTTGGAAGAAAAGCCGACGTGGTGGGAGGGTACAAATGGTTACACCATTACAAACACAATTCCGTTTTGGTATTCTTGTCATGATTAGAAAATACATAAAATAACAGCATTACAAACTCAATCCTAATTTTATATTCTATTTTTAGAATTTTTTAGAAATTTACCTGTGATAAAATAAACGTCACTTTTTGTGGCGTTGATACATACGTGTGGTGAACTGTCGTAAATTCATGGGAGGTGTCCTTTGTTATTCTGTGGTTTACATGTTGTAATGTATTATTATATTATTTATTTATATATTTCTCTGTCCTGGTTGTTCTTGTGTTTATTTGTACTGTATTCCTGTCACGTAATGTTGTCATTTTAGCGGTATTTTTAACATTACCATATAAGCGGGAGGGTTGGCTAGCCATAAAACCAGGGTTCAACCCACCATTTTTTTCTTAAAATGTCCTGTACCAAGTCAGGAATATGGCAGTTGTTATCAAATAGTCCATGTCTATGCATGTTGACGTTTGTTATTGTTGCAGTTCAGTGTTTCTGTTGTTCCGTTTCCTCTAATAGTTGATGTGTTTCCCTCGGTTTTGGTTTGTGACCCGGATGTGTTTTCGCTTAATCTATTTAGGACTATTGAACAGCGATATAATACTGTTGTCTTTATTTATATACCAGACTGTATGATACATGACCTTACACTTCGACAATTGAACTTTATTTTACCAACCTTAATCATTCTGATTCCTTGTCCGGTTTTAGATTTACTTTTAGTCCCTTCTGGAACCTTTGTATTTCATCATTGAAGAGACATTAATTGTCGAATTGTGCACTTGGTGCATTGAAACTGGCACCGTTAATGTAATTTTGAACAGTTAAACGATGACCAAATTGACATACAAATGTATTAAAATATTCGTGGTCTCAAATGAAATACTTCATAAACAAAACGTGACAGTCACGATATAGAATGAAGTTTATATTACTCATCACTGTAATAAACAAATTTTGTCTTCTTTTAACAGAAAATGTCTTACAAGATACAAGATACACACAGCAGGACCGTGGGTCCAGGAAGAGCTTCAAATTTATACGATTTTCTCAGTCCAAGCTCTGAATCAACATACAACCGGGCAACTTCACCACATGATGAAAGAAGTCGTTTTGATACTCACAGTAAACCTATTACAAGAAGAGAATTTCTTTCCAGAGACCACCAACCATCACCAACAATTTCCAATGAAGGGGAAACCAACGAACACGATAGACACGACCGAATAACAACGACGAGAAAGGTTTATCTTTCCCATGACAAGCAGTTATCACCAAATGTCGCAATCGAGAATGACAGGACGAAACGTAGATCACCAAGAGAATCCTCACACGTGGACCAACTTCTAACTTTGGTTAAGGACTTGCAGAAAGTTGATATTGATACAATAGAATCATCTCTGAAGGTAATTTTACTTAACTGTGAAAATTAAGGGTAAGAAATTTCAGCCTCTTCTTTTTTAGATTTAGAATATGATTTTGTTATCGCTATAGATATTCCTGTAGGTCTTATTTGTTTTCTACGCATACAGTAAGTAACCAGATTCCTATGAGAAACATCTTCACAACAAGACTGATGTAATACTAAATTAGTCCGTTAGTTTTTTTCAATTGAATTGTTTCCCATTTTTCATGTCGGGGCTTTTTATAGCCGACTATACTATATGGGTTTTCTCATTGGCGAAGGCCGTGTGGTTGCCTATAATTGTTAACATCCACTTTATTTGCACTTTGGTTGATAGTTGTCTCATTGATAATCATACCACACCTTATTTTCCTATGGTACGATTTTCTTCCTAAAAGTTCGATTTTACGCTCATCTGAAATCCATAATGATGTCCTATCTTAAATATTCTTTAAAAGGAGTTTCAAACCAAGGTCCTTATTCGTAAAGTTCAAGCGGTTTTGTCGAAAGTTCAACGGACGCCTTCGTGATTTGGTAGACATTTATGAAATATCTGCAAATGATCTCAGATATGTTCCACTAGTCTTGCCTTTACCCGAATTCAATTCTAAAGCATAATTATTTTATGGCTTGTGTGTTTTTACGGGCCGAATAGCATACACTTTGTTTTAAAATGTTATAAGATTAATACACAAAGATGTAGCATTTTAATCAATGAAAGCCTTATAACTTTCTTGCGTCCAAGCCTAAACGGGACATTATTTGTCTCGTAATTAACATTTCCATGGTTCATAAATACTATTGAAATGAATGATAACCAACAACTTTAAACCTTATTGAGATACACTTGCATTGAAGCTTTTTAGAACTATTGTTGATATAAACCTGTCATATACATAATATCATTGGATCTTTCAAAGTCGATGAGTATGTTGATTCGCCAATCCTATTTAACTTACAAATACTGTAATAACATTTAAATTTGCTTCATGTCTTGGCTTTTTAGAAATCGAAGAGTTCGAGAACTTAACTTTTTGATAAAAGCAATGGCTTCAGTGTTTCCATTATGAACTTTCCATTTTTATTTCCATTTGAACCCGCTTCTGCATATGGATTACATATCTCACAGTTGAAACGATAAACCAGGTCTTGCATTCCATATCATCAAATTCATGATATAGGATTGCTGCTTACAAGGAAGCTACCGATACTGTTACGTTTCTGAACGTTAAATACTGATGCATACGCCATCAGGGTTTGGTTGTTAATTGAGTTATAACTTTGTCACGGATGCCCATTGATATGATTTACTTTTAGTAGTCACAATCCTGTCATCCTTTTCATGATCGTGAAGTCATCGAAAGCCACTCATCATCGGAGTTTTACTTACCATGAGCAAGATGACAAGGATGTTATTAGTGGAGCATGAACTGCTTACCCTACCGGGGATACTTGATTTCAGGTTTGCGCTCCGTCCGTCTGTCCGTCTGTCCATCCGTCAGTCCGGCAAATCAGTTTTCCACACTTTTTGTATTCGTTCTTGAAGATATTGATTTGATATTTGGTATATAGTTTTATCATGACAAGTTATAGATCAAGTTCGAATTTTGTTCCGGTCTGATGATTAAGCCCATAACTCTGGACCATATCTTATGTTAGAATATTATGTGAAACCATGTTTCTGTACAAAGAGAGATAACTCATTTTTTAAAAGACATTCTTTGGTAAATTGTGTAAAGAATTTTGTTGGCAGGTTTGTTTATAATTTTGTATAAACTAATTTTCTGAATGCTATATATATAAAAAAAATTATGAAGTGAAATCCTTTACCGGGTAATTAGATAATAATCTATTTTTATTAATGTATATATTTCATTACACTACATTGAATAGATAAAAATTGTTGACATTTTATAGATAAGTTACAAATCTATATTAGTTTGTGACAAATGAAAGAAAAAATATTTGGAACTATTAATTATATTTGATTATAATTTGAAAATAGATATAAACTGTATTACATCATATCTAATTTTAGAGAACTATTAATCATATCTAATGTTAGAGTGTTTCTACACTTTTTTCATCATGCTTGAAGATATTGATTGATATTTGGTAAATAGTTTTATCATGACAAGTTACAGATCAAGTTAAAATTTTTGTTTCAGTCTGATGATTTTGTGCAGAGTTATAGTCCTTGACCTTGAAAAATTCACTCATATGATCAGTTTTCCACACTATTTTAAGTCATGCTTGAAGATATTGACTTGATATTTTCTTTTTGTTTACACCATGACAAGTTATAGATCAAGTTAGCATTTTGTTCCAGTATAATGAATTTTTACCCGGTAGGGGACTATGTATAATAAAATAAATAAACAGTATTCCCTTGCAATACTCTCAGAATGCTTGTTTCTTTCTGTGAAATGTTTATGGACTGTTGACTGTTTTTTCATTGTTTTTACTGGTTTGTGTTACTCAACGTTTAGTTTTTCTGTGTATTTTTTGTGCACTCTCGTTTATCTTTTCTCTGTTTTTCGTTTGGTCATGATGTAACCTGTTTTCTTCGACATATGTTTTTTTAACCCTTGGTAATTACCTTCTTTATCACAAGAGAACCCTACAGGACGCAGATGAACTATATCGACTGGGTGATATATAATTCATATGACCGAGCTTCTTGGAATGTATCAACATAAAATGGAAAGTTCACAAAAGGAAACTAAAGTATGCCCTTTGATAGGAAATTTTAGTTCTCAATCAACATTCACTATCGATTTAAAGATGTTAGTCAAGATACGAAGCTGCACGAAATTTATTAGTGGTACTCGTTATTTTAAGATTTTAATTTCAATGCGATATATGCAATCAATAAAGGCACCAAAATTTGAAAGAATATTTGTTATAATTAGTTTAGTAGGTTTAAATCAACTATAAATTCGAAAGTCATTGCCGTTGAAAAGATGTATGAGTGTTCCGGCACTTAAAAGTATGCATTTTGTGAAAAATTGCATTGTATATACTTTCTTCTTTACAATTACTAATGGTTTTGATAAATAAGATATACTACATTTACATCCAAGATCTGATTCCTTGCCTGTAATTGGTGATACTTTTTTGTCTTTTCCGGTTTACAAGCACTTAACATTTTTAATAAGCTTTGGATTTTCAAATATTTTGGCCCCGAACATCACTGAAGAGACATTTATTGTCAAAATTTGTACCGTTTGGTACCGTTAATGTTTTTACTACCACTGGGTCGATGCCTCTGCTGGTGGACTGTTAATCCCCGAGGGTATCACCATCCCAGTAGCCAGTACTTCGGTACTGGCATGAAAATACGGATTTTGTGTTATTAAAATTTGCCGTTACAACATTTTGAAAATTATAAAGAATATATCTCCCTCATGCAAAGCTCTGATTCCTTGCCTGAATTTAGTTATACTTTTTTGTCTTTTTTGTTTTATAAGTTCTTAATATTTTTAATAAGCTTTGGATTTTCAAATATTTTGGCCCTGAGCATCACTGAAGAGATGCGCATCTGGTACAGAAAAATTGGTACCGTTAATGTTATTACATAAATAATACCTCTTTAAGTTTTAAGTTTTAAAGCTGATGCTTATTGCTCATTTTTCTGGGAATTTTGTGAATCGTGAAATTGTCAATTATGTGATGAATTTTGTTTTATGTGCTCTCGTGATCATAAAGAACATTTTTATGACAAGATTTACTGAAATTATGTCCCGTTTATGCTTGCTTTACAGAAGCTGGTTATAACGTTACTTCTTGGTGCATTAAACGTTTAACATTTTTTTATTAAAGGATGTGGCCAGTGCAGAAAAACACACAAGCGGCATAATCATATACAGTATGATTAAATTCGGACATAATTTATACGTAAGGGAATTAAAGTAGTATTTCCTACGGAAAATCATCTAATACAATCTACAGAACTACTTATATAAAGATTACGTACATTACATGTATAGATGTATTCATTCGTGATCTTTGCTTGACATGGAGACAGGATTAGTACTTTACATTTTGTTTACTTTTACTTATGTAATGTTGACCTCTTTTTTTATTTTTTTTTCTCGCCATGCAGGGATATTGTTACATCAGCGTGAGATTTTACTGACTTTTTAAAATAAATCAATTATACAGAAAACGAGACATTTTAATGTGTCAGCTCTTATTGGTAGTGTTGGATTGTCCTATCAATGACATATACTGCACCTCCTCAGTTTCCCTTTAAAAAAGTAACATGGAGAAAGGAAGTATACAAAAGATGACCTGTTCATTTTTATTACTCTTTTTGATTAACAGGACACATCAACAGAACAACTGAAGTTAGAGTTGCAGAAACAAAAGGAGGAATACAATACACTTAAAGAAGTTTATGATGAATTCAAAAAAAAATATCAAGAAGCAGTAGACCAAAATGATGAAATAATAACTAAAGCAAAACAGTTAATAAAAGACGCAAAACAAAAAGCGAGAACAGATTCTGAGGAAACCATTAAAAAACTGAAAATGCGTCTGAAGGAAAAAGACGTTGAATTAACAAATCTCAAGTCTGAAAAGGATTCAGCATTATCCAGGTAATTTTAGGTGGACAGTGTAGAAAGCTAACAGTTTTGAATAAATGAATATTTTAGGAAATTTTAAATTGCACTTTGCCATGCAAAGTATTTAAATTGTTTTATTTTTTTTTATTTTTTAACTTCAGAAGGCATGTTTCATTTTCCAATGTTGATATGCTCACTAAATAAATATTGATATGAAAACACATCTCTGTAAAACTATAAAATGCAGATGATGTGTGTGTATAAAATAAGTCAGATCTAATAAAGTTGACCGGACTATCTAAAGGCACACTATCATTAACATAGATGAGGAAAATTAATATACGACAACAGTTAATCAGAAATGTTTGTAACTATTTAATAGAGATATAGTATTCAATAAGATAGCATGGTATTGTATTCACCAAACTTAGATAACCGAATGTAAATGATCGATTCAGATTTTAACAACAAGTTTTGATGCAGAAATGCAATTAATTTGTATGACTTTTATGGAAAAAGAAAACAAAATAAAATAATATCTTATGATAATAATATTGCATACGGTCAGAAAATGTTTGTATTGATTCCAAAATATAACATCTTTGATTATACGGAAAGAGGACTATTAGAACAGGTTTATTATAGAATGTATTGTCAATATATGAGTTTTATTATGTAACCTCATTTCATTTTTTATTTCTTAAAGTATTTTATTCATATTTTTTGTTTAAAACTACAATATCATAATCGTGATTTTCGTGTATGATTATCACAATACTAGAATTTGAGATTTTGTAACAACCTGCTGATTAAAAACAAGCCATTTCTTTTAAAATGGCACACTATATCCTTAATTTTGGCAAAGCCAAAAAATTATTTCAATCATTTCCCTACCATAATAAGTGAATACATCTGATACCAAGAGGTAAGTTCAAATCACAACAATATCATGAAAATGCGAATTGTAGATAATATAGAGAACTGTCAATGATATCTCATTTGACCTCACGTGTCGTTTAAATGATGAGATCCTTTGTTAAAATCATGTTTGGTATAGCTAATTTGATCGAATCGATTCCATTAAACTTAAAATAAAGCATAAAACAAACGGAAACAGCGTGGTCAGCGTCATATCTTAACTCTAATCCAGAGATCGACAGCGAAGTCAAAATGAGAGCAAGGCTCACCCTCGATTTTCCTATTGTGAACTTTCATTTTTATGAGACAATATTCCAGCTGTTCATGCTAATGTAGTATATGTCTCCCAAAAGATGCGGTATTCCATGATGTTTTTTCCCCCTATCATGATTTGGCGAAAAGAAATGTTGCTGCTTTCAAAAAGACAGTAAACAATAATTTCTAATGGTAAAGTTGTAAGAATTAATTTCTTCGAACAGTTTACAGATGCCAGCTTGTGTGATTTTGTTTGTCATGTCACTCTTTGACATGAGTTTGTTATCTTCTTACGTTGTTGTATTCGTGACAGGATATAAAATTAAGTGTACGTCAAGTATTTTAGGAATACGATATCAAATAAAACGTATCTTTTAAAATTTATGTTTTTGGCTTGCTGTTTCAGTACCAGTGATATCGATCAGTGTACACCATGCTTCTTACTCGTCTGAGTAGTCTCTAATGGGTCCTAATGCTGTGCAATGATACTAATTGTAAAGAATTATAAAATATATATACATGTATGTTTAAGTTTTGAAAGTTTGAATAAATGAATGAATGAATACAATTTCAACCGAACTGTTTCTTATCTAACCAGATTAAGCAAAGAAATGGGCGACAAGTTAAGTGAAAACAATGCAGGAATAGCTGACCTTAGTGACCCTAACAGATCAACAAAGCTTGCAGAGAAGTACAACAATTTGTATGACAATGACTGGACAGATGCTTTAGAGAGCCTCACTACTGAAAGTCGTGTAGATGAAGAAGCTGGTGTCAGATTTTTATTAGAAATAATGAAGGTTTTTAAATATTTCTACTTTAGTGTAATTTAAACTTCTTTTTTCAAAACAGATATGAAATTAAAGATAAGTAATTGCATAAACAACGTGATGTATCATAGATTTGCACAGTAGGGTAGGTTGTGAAAGGTCAGTACTGTTTTTTTAATGAAAATTTAGTTCCATTCCTATTTAAAATTCGTGAATAAAATACACTCTTTATACATTTTGTGCGTCCGAAGCGCTTTTTTAGATTAACCTTCTAGAATGCTCAAACCTAAATACTTGAAAGCCAGTGATGCGTAAATACGCTGAAACGATAGGAGCCAAACGATAAAAAATTACCTAATAAGAATAGCCAAATTCATCTAAGGTCAGCTTTGCCTACATAATGTTATTATAATTATAATGGCCCAAATTATGAACCATAGTATATATGCTTGGTCTTAACTAAGTTTGTATTTTTCTATATATTCATGTAGACTTAATACGAAGGACATCAGTATGATTTGACCAAGCTAGAGTTTCAATATAATAATTATCATTTCAGAAGTAAAAATAAATATTATTTATGTTATTCTTATCGCATTACACTAAAATGGTAATCATCATATGAAACAACATATTTGTCTTTCAGCATGCAAGTTCATTCTGTAAAAGGGCGCATCTGGAATCGTTGCAAAGTTTGGAATGTATTTTAAGTAATCCTGTAAGTGAACTATATTTAATCAAGCGTAATATTCATTCATGCTGGTCAATATAAACTTTTGCCTCGCCGAGCGCAGCTGGATACGACAGCAGAGGTCCAACCCTGAACAGTTGGATCAAAAATGGACACAATATTCAAGCTTGATACAGGTCTGAATTTGGATTGTAATTAAATATTTGACACATTATAGGTTTCTGACACAGAATAAATGTAGTCAAAGAACTTGAAATTGGTTATATGATTTGAATTTATATTCAATTGAAGATATCTTGCTGTTTCGCAATACTTAGTAAATCTGTTTTCAGACTGTATACAAAGAATTAGCAAAATAAGTTGTGACCTCCATTTTTTTTTGGGAAAATTGATAATTTCTTAAATCTTGAGGAAAAAAAATTGACCCTCCCCCCCCCCAATTTTTTTACCCCCCCCCCCCCCTTTTCCAAAAAATGATATTTTTGAAGAAATTTTCTTTTTGTAAAATGTGGTACAATTTAAGAGATATCCATTATACACTTAAACACAAGTTATTGTCTGAAAACTAGAAAAATGCGTCTTTTGGCCCCTATTGGCCCCTAATTCCTAAACGGTTTAGGCAATTACTCCAAAAATGAATTCCAACCTTCTACTTGTGGTATTGAACTTTGTGGTACAATTTCAGAGCAATCAAAATATTTATACACAAGTTATTATCCTGAAACTAGAAAAATGCTTGTTTTGGGCCCCTTTTTGACCCCTAATTCCTAAACGGTTGGGACCATCACCCCCAAAAACAATCCCAACCTTCCTTTTGTGGTATTGAACCTTTTGATTAAATTTCATAGCGATCCATAAACTTAAACTAAAGTTATTGTTCGGAAACCCAATGTCTTCGGACGACGACGACGGACGACGTGATAGCCAGTGGCGGATCCAGAGGGGGGCGTAGAGGGCGTACGCCCCCCCCTTTGCTTGCACTTTTTTTTTTTGTAAAATGATTAATCAGACTAGACTTCGTGAACTTTGCCATTTCCCGTGTATTTAATTTTTATGTGACAATTCTTTACTTATAAAGATATTTTTCGCTCGTATTTACTGTAATATATTATTTATTGATTATGTCAAAGTCATGTGATTCTCTACGGTGGAGTTGACCAGTTCGTCGAAAAAAACGTCACTTAGTCATTTTGAAATTCAAATTACAGTAACACATTGCTTAGGCTGAGGATGACAAGCATGACGCCTTCAAAGCGACAAAGTATTGAGCAAGAACGTATTGACTTCTATTTCACAATTCCACCCAACAGAAAGTAATACTCTATTACACTCTCATGAGAAAAAAAAGTTGCACAGAAATATTATTTACCTACGAAAACATGTTTAACCCCACACGCCCCAGCCCATTAATAACATTGCTGAATAGTGATCCCCAGTCAGTAAGCTCTAGATATAGATTTAAAGATCTGAGGGGGCAGTCTGAGATATTTTAGAGAAAAAATTCTGACCCTGATTTTTGCCTTAAACAAAAATTCTGGCCGTATCTGGATTGAAAACAATAATCTTGTCCACTTTTTTGCTATTAGAAAAAAATATTTTCAACAGAATTATTTAGCATTAATGAACATGATGAATAAAAAACGGGCGTATTTTTTTTTTTTTTGCATGTGAATCCCATATCTGACCGGAATGTCTGTTTCGCCGAACTGATATACTGAATACATTTTTCAAGGCCCGACTGCAACCTGCCTGCTGGGTGTGGCCTATATGTCTCCATGTGTCTTCCGTCATTCACAACTTCATTGTCATTTCCGACTAATTCGTAGCCTTTGGTTGATTTGGAACCCCTCACTTCCCTTGTTGGGTAAAACATTTCAACCAAACATTTGGATGAAGATTGCTTGTTTGTCCTTCTTCGTGTGGGTCGTATTGTAAATTTCATTGAATAGCCGTATATCTTGTTTACAACAAGAAATCTGTGAGGTTATGCTAACTAACCATACAACAAACGAGAATTTTCCATGTCCATTTTTTACTGACAAATCCCACATCAAATATATATATTAGTACATAGCTTTGGATCCATCTAATCATTTCATAATAGACAATTGATGGAGAGAATACGACACCAAAAATGTCCAACCCCTACACTTTAACTATAAAATACATTTTACACTTATTTTATGTTTTTTAGCCAAAAAAAGGTCCAAAAAAAATTTTTGGCGAACTTTAATACTACGCCCCCCTTTTCAAAATCCTGGATCCGCCCCTGATAGCAATATACGAACGCTAATTGTTTGCGGTCGTATAAAAAGTATGCACAGGAGCTTTAAAAGTGGAAAACTTTAAATTTGGTAGATCATTTACAAATAATTTTATATTTATGAAGAAAAAGATATTTGTTTGTTCAACAAGAAACCCACACTATTTGCCTACGATGATATTGATTTTATACTTACACGTTATATATGTGCAAATATTTTAATATTTTGGTTGCTTTACTGCAAATTAAAACCCCACTCTATGAGTTTGGACTATATTACAATATCATTGTCCGTCCGTCCGTTCAACATATATTCTCGTCAAACTTTTCTCTGAAACACTCAACATAATGACTTCCCATTTGGTCACCATTTTGACATTGATGAGTTGTAACGATTAAAGTACAAAACATTAACGAAAAACAAATATGATAAAACAGCAACAAACGACAACATTCAGTTACAGGCTCCTGTCTTGGGATAGGTTCATTGATATATACGGGATGCACGCACTTACAAAAATATGGGTTATTGGGCGAGAGAACATCATTAATATCTGAAAGTGGAAATAAATTACTTGAAAAGATGTACTTTTTTTTGTCTTTGAGACGATTTTGTAAGAATTCTGCTTTATATGAGTACATAAATAGGTCGGAAAGTTTGGTATACAAGTGGTTCTCATTGGAATACCGACTGTTGAAATAGCAAAACTATAAACTCAACAAATATATTATCGATCAAAAAGTCCAGCATTTTTATAATTATCTACGGATCCCATTTCTGAGGAAAAATGAGAATATGTAGTAGGTCTTCAATTGAGCACTGATAGTAGCCCAAGTGTAGAGCTTAGAAACATCTTAACTTTGATATTATTACAAATATGTAATGATTTGGAAAAGATCTTTCGAATTTGAAAGATTGAACATCTGAGTGATACTACTTGTGGAATAAACCCCATCACAGTTACTGTTAGATACCATATTTTACCATAGAAAGATTGTTTGCAAAACCTTACAAAGGGGTTTTATCTTGGTCAAAAGTCCAGACAACCCATCCAACATTTCTCCTGGGCAGGAACCACCTTTTAAAAATGGCTGGACCCGCCTATGTAAACAACCAATTTTTTATATATGTGCTTTAAAAATCAAACGTATACGTTTTCACAGCGAGGACCCGAAAATTCTTTAATTCAAAATATTTTCTTCATTTTGCTTATTTGTTTTCTTCAACGATTTTTTTTTAAATAGGTTCTGTTCATTTTACATCCATATTATTGTCCTCAGGTATCTCCTATAGGACATGCAACAGATAGCAGTGCCCAGAGCGGAGCAGACAAACAAATTTGGCAAATGCTTGAAACATGTGTCAAGTTGAAAGCCAAGACGGCGATTCTTAATTTGCAAAAGGTAGGATAAATAGCCGTTATTGACAGGGTAATATTTTAAAGATTTCCACTGGATGTTACCCTAAACAGAATGTCTTGCTGATTGAAGTTTGATATAAATAGTTCATTATTGTTTTTATATCTCATTTGTTTGTTATTTCGCGGTTTACATGTTACTAATGTACTATTATATTATTTATTTATGCGTTTCTCTGTGCTGCGTGTTCTTGCGTTTGTTTATACTGTATTCTTGTCACGTAATGTTGTCATTTTACGATATTTTTTAACATTGCCTTATAAGCGGGAGGTTTGGCTAGCCATAAAAACAGGTTCAACTCACCATTTTTTCTTAAAATGTCCTGTACCAAGTCAGGAATATGGCAGTTGTTATCAAATAGCCCGTTTCTATGTATGTGGGCGTTTGTTTTTGTTGCACTTCAGTGTTTCTGTTGTTCCGTTGTTTTCCTCTTATAGTTGATATGTTTCTCTCGGTTTTAGTTTGTAACCCGGATTTGTTTTCTCTCAATCGAGGCATGACTTTTGAACAGCGGTATACTACTGCTGTCTTTATTTGTTTCCAATTTTCGAACGTTTTGCAAAAGAAAACAATATTTCGACAAGAAAAACTGTACCACAGTAATTTCACTTAAACAATGAAAATAACACTTTATAAATTGTATGCTTCCGAAGCGCTTAAAAATACATTATATAGCAGCAGTCGTCACACATGAACCTTGTTTTGAGGATTTTCACATTTATTTAGTTTTAATAGCTTTACATTGTATATATATATATATATATATATATATACGAATGTATTTTCCTGACCTGAAGCGGTGGACCAGTGGTTACTGACTGTTTCGTGATAATAAAACTGTTAACACAGAGATATGTCTCGCCTATTTGTTATTTTGATAATGCAAATGTTGAAATTAAAATAGCAATGAACCATGACGGAAGATACAGGGCTAAACAATCTCCATGGAAATGAGATGTGCAAATGATGTGCCAATGCTAATACAACTGCAAACCAAATACCATTGACTTTTCATAAGTCGTTCCATTTAAACAAACCTAAACACAAACATTAACTTGTAAACTATGTAAAAGTTTCAAAGTCAATGAACCATAATTAAGGGGTGGGGTTATATAATCTCCATGGAAATGAAACTTGCAAATGCCAATACATTTGCATACACCGAATATCATTGACTTAACATTAGTGGTTCATCTTAAACTGACCTAATCACAAACTAACACATGTAAACTAAGCAAAAGTTTCAAAGTCAATAGACCATGAATTAGGGGTAAGGACCAAATATTCCCCATGGAAACGAGATGTGCTAATGCTTATACAACTGCATACCAATTATCATTGACCTACCACTAACAGTTCCCCGTAAACTGACCTAATCACAAACTAATACATGAAAACTAAGCAAAAGTTTCAAAGTCAATAGACCATGAATGAGGAGGCGGGGCCAAATAATCTCCATGGAAATGAGATATGCCAATGCTTATACAACTGAATATCAAATATCATTGACCTACCACTAGTGGTTCCCCATAAACTGACCTAATAACAAACTAATACATGTAAACTAAGCAAAGTTTCAAAGTCAATAGACCTTGACTGAGGGGGCGGGGCCAAATAATCCCCATGGTAATGAGATGTGCCAATGCTAATACAACTGCATACCAAATATCATTGACCTACCACTAGTGGTTCCCCATTAACTGACCTAATCACAAACTAATACATGTAAACTAAGCAAAGCTTCAAAGTCAATAGACCTTGACTGAGGGGGCGGGCCCAAATAATCTCCATGGTAATGAGATGTGCCAATGCTAATGTTCTCCAGAGACAGAAGTATGTGGATGTAAAAAAAATTGTATGTCAGCATACGGTCTTAAAGAGCAAAAACATATACATTTGTATCGTACAGTGTAAAGCTATAAAATGCTCAGGCATGACAAACGAATCACTTGACTATGAACAATGTGGCAAAGTTTAACATATTTGTGAGCGCTCAAATCTCGTCTTAATCTGGGACATGGATGAATCATCACAACATAAGAACAAACTTGAAAATTAATAAATAAGTACTTGTACATTATTTGATTTGAATGCTCTAAATGATGGTAAACCCTGAAAATCGCCTCAAACCCATTAAAATACATAGTGTTATTTTTATTTCTGGAAAGAGCTCGACACATCAGAACAACGTGCATGTAGCAAACAGGCAAAGACAAAAAGTGCCGATCTTAGAGTATTTTATGTTAATGAATGAAAATAACACTTATACATTTCTTGCGTCCGAAGCGTTTTTCTTGAAAACAAATTTAAATCAATCATGGTATATTTCACAGCTGCTATTCCCATATTATTGAAGATCAGATGTATTTATATTTGAATACCAATCGAATGATACTAATGTCCTTGACTTTTTTGTCATTCTATTGTACATAGGAAAACATTTGAAATACATATGTTGTTTTTGTTGTTGTAGAGCTACATGGCTTCCAGTCGTAAACCAATTTACGCAGAAAGATTACCAGAGTATGTCAATAAATGTATTGAAATTTGCTGGTTAATGAATACCCATAATCCACCTCTTGAGTTTGCTGAACCTCCAATGTCAGGACAACCATATGACAAAGATAGCTATAAAGAATTTACCAAACAAGGGGATACAGTTTCGTTCGTTGTTTGGCTCCCATTGTTGATTGAAAAAGATGGACCAGTTCTTACAAAAGGAGTTGTTCAACCGATTCCAAAGTCATTTTCAACTTCCGTCTCTAAAACAAAACGAAATATATCGGCCGATAAAATGAAGGTTAGGGGTCGACAAGAGTCCGAAAGTGAACGACGTCAACGATTATTGCACAATAAAGAGGTTGAACGAAAGGACGTATACGAGCATAACCAATTAAAAGAAACAGAATCAAGGTTTAATGACCTGCTTAGAGAAAACCAACATCAGCATCATGATACCACTGACTTACGTAAAAAGTATGAAGAAGAAATAGACCGTCCAGGTTTAGATAAAAATGATCATCGTGTAAACGAGATGTTTCATGATTCTCCATATCGACCGTATTCTTCAAATACAAGGAGTACCACAGCTACTTCTGCATCTGCATACAAATATTCGCCCTCGTCAGAACCAGCATCGGAAAACTACAGCAGCTATGGACAACATGGAAATTACAATAGACCACATTCAGCCTTTACTGAAAGACACACAGAATATGATTATAAACATCAAAGACCAAAAACAGCAGGAGTAGAATCAAAAGGGAACCCTCTGACGTACTTTGATCCAAAGTCGGCGGAAATATATGAAGCTGGGCGGACAAAGTATGCCCTTTACCATAATCAGCTGTATGTACATGATAGCGATAGTAATACATGGCGTCCTTCGAGCGGGTTTAACACCTAATTGAACGCAGTTAGCTTGGAATTCTTTAAAAGTATTTTAGAACATTTTTATAGTTGTAATTCATTGAAAGTTGCAGAAATATAGACACAGATTTTATCTTTCAACTCAATTTTGTAGTTTTATTTGACAATGGAACTTAGATTTTACTCATATATATGTAAATAGTAGTTATTATGTAATGAATTGTTTTAAAAATGGTCGGCATTCCAAAGAAACATGTATTTTCCGCCTAATTTTGTCTACACAAAGATACCACTATGTTAAATAAGTATTTGCGATTAATTTTATTGAATAATTTCATTTAATATTTGAGGTTCATTGCATAATTTTGTTTTGCAAAAATATGTGTTGGTAGATAGAGTTGTTATTTAACATATACTTTAATATTTGCGTCAATGAAGTGGGGAAGGCGAGACTTATGCGTGCTGTTTCCAGTGGCGGCGGCGGCGGCGGCTTCATCAAATTTGTTAAATTTTGTGATAAGGTCAGTTTAAGATGAACAACTAATGGTAAGTCAATGATATTTGGTATGCAGTTGTATTAGCCATTGACACATCTCATTTCCATGGCGATTATTTGGCCCTGTTCTGTTAGTCATGGTCTGTTGACTTTGGAACTTTTGCTAAGTTCAAATGTTAACGTTTGTAGTTATGTCAGTTTAAAAAAAGAGATGGGTGAAATACCAAAGGATGGTAAAAAAGTGATAAGTCGAAGAAAAACTGACAATGCCATGACAAAAAAGAAAAGCGACAGAAAAACGATCAGGTCCACAAAACAATCTATAGAAAACTTATGATTGAGCAACACGAACCTCATAAACTGGGGATGAATTCATGTGCTGTGGAAGAATAAGCAGTTCTGCTCCACATGTGACACCCGTCGTGTTGCTCATGCATGTGATAAGTCACAGTTGGTGATTTAACAATCGAGGAAAAGAAGACGGGATTGTGGTTACTAGAATTGGAACATATTCTTGGTCATCTGTGACACATATTTCATAACCGTCAACCAACACCCGTGATGTAAAACTTTCGAAGGGATGACTTCAACTTTTCCACTTGAAACCCTTGGGTCAATAGCTTCCTTGTTAGCAGCAACTTTCTATCAAGGAAATCATGATAGGAAACACGAGCTACGGAATATCTTTTCAACTGAGATATATACCCCATATGTAGGCGCTGCTTATATGTTGCTACATAGATATGGAAAGTTCACAACTGGAAAGCTGAATTCATCCGTTGTGTCATAAAGTTTTGTTTTCGACCGACCCTCAATGTCAAGTTTAAGATGCAAGTCAAGATATGAGGCAGACGGTGGTATTCTTTATTTCAAGTTCGATGGGACAGAAGCGTTTAACGAAGTCACCAGACTCTTAATTGCTAGGATTTAGTTAGAGATCATCTACAAATGTATATAACGGAAAGTGACGTTAAAGGATAATGTTTAAGCAGACTTGCTTATGGTAAGTCAGTGAAATTTGGTATGCAGTCGCATTAGCATTGTCACAACTCATTTCTATGGAGATTATTTGGCCCCATTCCCTCAGTCACGGTCTGGGATTTTGAAACTTTCGCAGACTTTACATGTTCAAGTGATTATAAGTCATATTTCCATGGAGATTCTTTGGCCCGTAGCCTTCATTCATAGACTTTGGAATTTTTCGACGAAAAAACACTAAAAGTTTTAAAATATCCTGACTCATCCTCTCCAAAACATTCCAATAAACATGTACCAATTGCAACAGTAAGAGACAAATGAAAATTCATGGTAGTTTGAAAATGTTTTTGTTCGAATACAAATTAGACATTCACTTTACAATTAACTTAAGTTCAGTTCGTTTTTAATTTCGTCTTCTTACTTTTAAATCATTTTTACAGGTAGAAATGTTACAAATGATCTTCATTACAATCGTTTCAAGAAATATAAATCTTTGGTATTGAATTTGTAATGTATTTCATTTTAAATATCGTGTATAAAAAAAAGTATAAAAACATATAATAGACTAACAAACATCTGCATTAACACACCAATTTCCTCCAAAAAATATATACATTAAGACATAACAAAAGACAACCACCGACGAGGTTCTTAACTTGGAACTGGCGCATGAATTGGTTAAGGGTCAAACTAGTGACTTCAACTTTAAAATCGTTTATCCTCTTGTATTGGGTGCATAGATGTTTTCACAACTTATCACAAAATTCTTTTCAGAAATTATCAACAGAATAAGTAGGATGTTTATATACTACTTTATATTTATTTACTGTCACACAGAAACCATGTCGATAACCCTTCGTACTCTTTAATGACTTGCTTGGTCATTCAACTAAAATCCAACTTTGATCTGGGGTCTGTTAACCTGAAATCATATCAAACATCTTTTCTATAGCTTATAGTAAATAAATGTTGCATAATAGAAGCACAGGTTAAAACATTTAGCACACCGTTTAATTCTATTATAGTTAGTTCTATCAAAATGTTTACTATGTTATGAGTACTTTCCACCTATCTGTGGAAAGACCTTTTGCTTTTGTTTTGATTATTGTATTTTTCAACATGTCGACAAGATATGTAGTATATAATATCGAACAGTTATTGCACAATTGAAATCGACCTGTTCAACCGAACACTTTTCCATATAGAAGTTATCTCTCTGTTTGCTGTTATTTTTTTATTGCTCGCATCAGAAACCATTTAAGATATCGCATGATTTTTTTCCTACAAAATGTTCGTTACTTCTTCGGGTTATTCTGTTCAATTTGGACAGACACAGTCCGGTTACATGTAATAAGAGATTTTTCCCTTTTAGTGTTTGAAATGAGTGGTGTTACTGAAAAACTGTATTTCATAGAACCCTATAGAGTCTCTTGATATCAGGTCGTTGGTCGTTAAAAAAGTTATTGGCATAAGTCTTTTTGTCAAACTGTAATTTCGACTTGATGATACGTTAATACATTTTGGTGGAATTGCTCAAGTGTTTTTTCCACTTAAATATTCAAAATAAGGTATTTGTAGGATAACTATATTATAGACCTGGGATCTTTTGCTTTGAGATACATAACCTTTGACAATGAAATTGAGGTCAAAGTTAGTCAAAGGTCAATTTGAAGTTATAGATTTTGACCGTTGCTATATCTACATACAGCTGGTGCATGATAAAGCCATAAGGTTTTTTGCATAAGGGTGGTTGACATGACCTTAAAAAGGTCGTGTGCTAGCCGGAAGTTACCATGTTTGCTCTAATTTCATGTCAAAGTACTTAGAAATCATATTATTTTAAATTGTGTATGAAGTGACATTTGTACACCGAAAGTAGCCAATTATCTCGCTTATTTCAAAAGGAAATAGTCTTCGGGCACCCCAGCGTCATCCACACACAAAAACTTAGCTGACCACCTGTATCTGTATCTGTATAAGGAATTCCCTCCTTCAAAGGAGCACTTCTTTTCAGAATCGGTTTAAAAGATCACTATATATATTTACAGGACTATATTTACAGTGGTCTTGGGTATACAAAAAAGTAAAAATAACGCCCATGGGGTGAATGTTGGCTACATTCAATGGCCCTTTCGTTTGCCGACGGCAGAGCTTTCAAAAGTTCATTTCTTTTGGTATGTAAGGCATAGCAGAGTTTCCTATTTATATACTCTACTTTGAAGCAATTGTCAGTACATTTGCATCTACAGTCACATGCGCATAATAATCTATTTCGGTCTAAAATAAGCTGTTTATTTATTACTAAGCTGGTTAGGTTAAAGCATTTAGCACAGTTTTTAATGCTACGAAGAAAGCAGTCTAATTAATGCAGGTATGGTATACGAGTATCATTCAGAGATTTACAATCTAGAAGAAAATGTTCAACAGTTTCTGAATTTTCATTGCAAGAAGACAAGTTGAATCTATTGTATTTTGGTTAAATGCTGCCTTATTGCTTTGCAGATAATAAGTTCCTGTTACAGTTTTAATTTTGGTTGTAGGCGGCTAATATCTTGTGTAGAGGTACCAACACTTGCAAGACATGGATGAATATTGTGCCATAGAATATTATTTGCAGATAAATTGCGAAGAGATCTGTATAAAGATACTTTTGTCCTGAGTTGTTCATGTCAGACGTTGTCCACTGCCTTCTTAATGTTTGCTTTCCATCGGTATCTACTGACCGGGTTCTGTATAAGTTCATGAGCTGAGGGTAAATTGTATTGTGCCAGTAAGCAACGTATTTAAGAGAACCAGGTTTTGGAGTTAAAACCAGATATCGAGAGTTGTCTTTCAGCAAGATCTTTTTCTACGGATGAATCCATACCACAAATCGTGTTGTATATGTTTAGAGCTGCTTTGTGTATAATGCCTTGGAGAGGAATAACTCCAGCTATAGTATAAATAGCTGCATCCGCAGTGTTGTTGGGAAGCGACAAGATCTGTTTGATTGATTTTCGATAGAATACTTCTAGTGGCTCTAAGTGTTTATTGTCTGGAAGTAGATATAGCCAATAGTGCTGAAAGTGGTATTAACCACCAACAATAACTCAATCAATCAATCAACGGGAAATATATAGAAATCATGTATTTTTTTTAATGAGTGTAATGTAAGATATCATATGACACCGGTAGAGGCATTTTGTTCATCGGAAGTAGCCATGCAATTATTTCGCTTATTTCAAAGGGAAATATAACTCAAATAATTCAAGCCCTTACCGTCTCCGATTCTCGCCGCCTCCAAGGAGTTAATAGAGTGATCGTAGTGAACGGAATATAACGACTGGATTATTCGGGTTAAGGGAAATACATATAAACCATATATTTTTTGAATTACAAATTTATATGTTTTTATAATCTGCTTATATATCTTCTTATACCGTTTCTTTGTAAAAGGGGTTCTTTTTAGTAAATAAAAGACGGTTTTGCATATCTGTTTTAAAGTTTATCTAACCCTTAATTATCACCATATGAAGTGAAAAGACCTTCTGTAGTTTTCTGTGTTTATTGGGAGTTATAAAATTATATAATTAACGGATTCCTGATATTGGTATTGACGGTCCAGTTATCGTTTAAACATAACGGCAATGCAGATAATCATACATAATTCACGTAGTTATGCATTTATGACATACGTCTGGCAGTTTGCCACGGTAAAAATTATCTATTATCTATTTTTTAAAAAGCAAATCTTCCAGTTTCAATATTAAGAACCTTTCGTTTTACTTCCATTTAAATGTTTGAAATGAATGATGAACAAGAAAGTCTATATAAAATAGTTTTTATTTTCCCCTGGAAACTGATTTGAGTCTCCAATTTATTTTCAACAATATCTGTAAAGAATCATCTTTAAAAAAGAGGTTGCCACGGTTTAAAAAGTGGAAATAGTCAAAAGCTGTCAACGCGAAGGACATGTATATGCTTTTCTATACTTACGTTAATAACCGTTCCTGGAGTACGACATATTTTTGGAATAGTGAACACTGACATGTCTTTATTCCTTGTTTGACATCATATATACCAACTGATTCCATTGTCTGCACTGTAATGAACAAAATTCCTCTTAGTTTTTCATGAAACACTGATCCTGTTACCTGTTTCTGTTATTGTTGTTAAATTTTTTCAAGACAATAGGCAATCACTTTGAAATTTACCATAAGAGTCAAAAGGATGCTTGTACTTAACGTCTTGTCTTTCAGAATCTCTTACCTTTGGCGATTTTGTATAGGTGCATATAGTTTCAACTTTGTGCAATCTAGGATATTTATAGTATCTTACAGCTTGACTATAGATAATAGAGAATAATGGGCAAAAAGTATAAAGAAAAGAGAAAAACGACCTAAAAAATACAGAAGACCCCCACCCAGACCCTCATACATTGGTATAAGTGGCGTGTAGAGAACAATAAAAAAACTTTAAGCGATTAAGGTTAACTCCAGGAATATCTCCAACACATATTTTTTAAAAAGAAAATTATATATTCCATATATAAAAACATATATACAAGCTTAGCTTGATGAAATGTTTCTGCGTGTCAGTTTCAAAATTGAAGTCATTTCGTTTCCATTGATTTTGTTTATCCAGTTATTATTGTATTGTTGATTTCATGGTAAAATTTAATCAAAGTACTGAAGTACTGAACATCGGATGACCGCAGGTTCTTGTGGATGGTCAAAAGCACATGTCACAGAAACAGATCACATCTCTATACCTGAAACTGAGGTTAATTTACAGAGATTTTTTTTTTCTTATACAAGTTCGTGCTTGGATGATGAATAAATGACAGGAAATTCAACCTCACCGTAATAACTATTATAATGTAGTGATACAAATCAGTATACCTTAGACTATTATACTAATATAATAATAGTTCCAAAGAATACACTGGTTTGTTGTTATATATTATGTTAATATTACGGTTGCATGTATATATAATTTTCATCTATTTGTATATCATACTATTCTACTATTGTTATAGTGTAATGCAAGTGCATGGTGGACACTCTTCTGTAAAAAAAATCAAAGTCTTAAAGGCTGTAAAAGCAATTGCTGCCATGTTAATGTTTTGTGGACTTTTATTTTTCATCCATATATATAAGAATTAAACCTGACAGGACAGGAGTGTTGACTAGTGAGAAGCAAGACGGTTTTAACTTTATATCAATATAAGACTTTAGCAGGAAATCATTTTAAATATGTTTTATATTTCACAAGGAGACAACATGTTATGGATTATCCCCTGGTAGTGTTTGTAACTGGGCAATAATTTCCTTTATTGATTTAATTTTAACCATTTTCATAATTAATTTAAATTAACCATTCAGTTAAAACATTTCAACTTTCCAGACGCAAATGTTGAAAAACGGGACAGAAATAAAATATCTTACAAGACATAAACATGTAAAAAATAAATATATATTTCAGCTTACTAAAAATATTTTCATAATGTTACTTTGACGTCATTTCTTAAAACTAAGTCCCAAACATAATTGCTCAGTTGACATGTGTCATCCTCATGCGATACGAGATAACTATAATTCTGATGCAATCCCGAAAAGGGGGGTCATCACAAACAAACATGACATTAAATTGTCATTATACGAACTAGAACAAACAGCTCTATGTTGCTTTGATATTTATCAATTTTCAGGAAACATGTGAAATAAATTTCAGGTCCATTTCATTATAGTGCCTAACAAGATTGTGTGAGGTAGACGAAATTGACCTTAAAACGATCGTATTGTCTTTTGATGTCCAAAAATAGGCAGATCGGACATATAAGGACTTTATCTAATGACTACATAAATTTGGGATTTATTATTATTATAATATTCTAATGAAACTGAAAATTGTATTTTTTTTTTAGGATAAACAACAATTTTACCTGGCGTAGCCGTGCATAAATGTTATTCTGCATTTATCTTCGAAAAATGGCGTATTTAATGGAATAGAACGTTAATACAGTAAACTTTCTCTTTTTTTCTCCGCAATAGGCTATCAAAAATAATTTATCTAATGTGTATGTGGAAAATTATGTGAAAAGATAAAAAGTGGCAATTGTTACGTTTCATACCTTAAGTTTCATTCATCTGATTCTGACCAATGCTTATATACTAAATATCTATTTGTATGCCGCTATTATTGTTGTTGTTACCAATAATGTAAATCAATTGTATCTGATTTTATGCCCTTTATGGGCCCTGTAATTTGGGAAATAAAAAAAAAATCTATTCATTGATAAAACATAATATGGACTGGTCCAGTGTCCAGTTTGCAGGTCATTTAATTTTCTGTACACATTCATGCACGCTCTGATTTAATCAATATACTCGTACGAAAAAGCATGAACAGTTTGAAGGTAATCTAATAGACGTGTTAGGAAAGGGGTTTAAATACTGCGCTGATGTTAAATACCAATACCGATACAAGATTTAAGTGTGGACTTTCTCAAAATACAATTGCACTGAAAAGTATCCCGGCGTAGTATAGTTAAGCTTTGTGGTGTGTTTGATACAACATGAAGCGAACAGTTAACGTCGACTCTAAATTTTAAGACGTGCATTAGCCTTACGTAGATCTTCATACATTCATACATTAATTTGTATTTGTTTGATTTAAGAGTGCAAAACAAAACTTAACAAAAATATATGTAAGAGTCAAGAATGGGAATGACGGATTTTACGACCACAAGTCCAAATATATATATTAAGCGATATGATGATTAGAATATGTTGTTAAAATAGTTAAATAACTCAGTTTGTCTCTCCACAATATGTATGTCCTATTTCCGTTGCAAAATATAATTAGCATGCATTTTGTGTCCAGGGATACAGGGTCGCGTATATATATGTGTGGCTTAAACAAATCAGTACTAATCTGAACACATCGTTATATCTATATATAAAAAAGAAAATAAAAAGTGGACACAAGTGGATACAGTGCTATTTCTATATAAAACTTTAAGAAGCAGAGGGCTACAGTAGAAGGTTGTCTTGCTGCGCATCGTTTTAATGTTCAAGAAAACCACTTTCCATGAGCTATATGTGATTCGTATTGTCTACTACTTTCTGGGTATGAATGCAATGAATAGACAGCGGGACGAAAGAACGGACGGATGGAACAATTAACCCATCACTATATACCGTCCAATTTAGAAAGCGGAGTGTATAGTGAATCTAAGGCAAAACAAAATGAAGCAAATCGGAAAAAAAAATGCCCGACATATAATTTAGCAGACTTTGTTTTGAAAGATGTGAAAACGAATATTCTATTTTCAAAATAACCTCCTGACCCAAAGATAATAACATTAACTTCTCCATATGAAAGTTTAACGCCACTTTCAACAATATCTCAATTCAATCGTGGTGTTCTGTTTTGTTGGTGGAGGAAGCCGTGGTAACAAGAAGAAAAAAAACAACTTCCGACCCTTCACCGAAACGTAATTTTAATATGCTTGATAATTAATGTCCAAACGTTGTAATCTTTTGATACTTAATTCGATAACCTCTCTTTTCCGAAAAAACTAACTGATAAAAGTTGATAGAAGGAAAATGTCAGGGCGAAATTTTTTTTGTGAATAAGAATTAATTCATTTAACATTATGTAAAATTGTCAGCGACCTTTCTAGATAAAATAAAAATATAAAGATAATCAAATTGAAAACGCTTTTGTTTCAGTCTTTTTTTTTTAATTGTTAAGTACCCAAATTTCTAGTTTGGTTTATTTTTAGAATTTTTACGCTACTGTGTAACACATTTCTCTATTCTAGAAAATGATATAAAATAAGGAGATGCGGTATGATTGCCAAAATAGACAACAATCTACCAGAGACCAAACGACGTAAATGTTTGCAACTATAGATCACCGTATGACAGACCTCCAACACGGAGCAAAAACCATTCCCGCATATAGGTCCGAGTACACAGTTATTTCGTAGTGCATTTCTTTTAGACAATAAATGAAAATTAAAAAAATCCCACCTGCGCTTTCTCAATAATATTTTTACAGTGTGTTGTACTACTTTTGGGACAAATTATATCAAAATTATAGAAAACTTCATCGGCTCTAACTCAAAATATGGACAATTTTATGTTAAGGGGGTCTTGAAATCTTTTGACAGCTTCCGAAGTGCTAATTTTTAACCTTTTTCAGCTGGACCAAATCACTACTTTACTTTAAAATTCATGACCCAAATTTTTTTACAGTGTAATTTCATCCCCCTACTTGCTATTTGAGGCATAAAACATGGAGAAATAAATTTGGAAGGGGTATAAAAAAAACTGGCAAGTAACACACTGTCCACACTAGGGACTATATTTGTCCCCGACATGACAGTTATTTTTTAAATAAAATTCAAATAAACGATTGTTTTGAACAAAGTTTGATGTAGAGTAAAAAATCGGATTCGAATGTGATTTGATTCCTGTGTTTTTTTCTATTCATTTATTTTGATCACTTTGTAGATTTTCCTTGTAGTCGTTCAACAAAATAGTAAGAAATGGGGGAACAACGATCTTAAACTTAATCGATCCCTACTATGACACAATACAAGAATAATGTTCGTGTTGTTTTGCTGGATCCTCGTCCGTGTATTACGGAATAAATTGTTACTATTTTATTGTTTAAAAATCATCTCAGCATTATCAAACAAACCCATACAGGTAACTATAATGAATGATTATCTGTGCTTTTTGAGATGGTCCCCACAATAGCCTGTAGTGGTATTGGTATTTAACATCAGCGTCAAAATCGTATTGACTTTCCTAACACGTCTATTAATAACTTAATCCAATCAAATTGCATAAGATTCAATAACAATGTCAAGTCCACATCATAATGAGTAATAGAGGTAAACTGGGTAGGGAGAAAATGACAGATATTTCAAGTTAATATTTATGCAATTATAACGAATTAAAATTTGTCAACCAAAAGTTTTGCTACAATTTCAAAAATATGTCGTTCTGTATGGGTATAGTTTTCGGATCTTTCATTAGCGTATTTAAGGCTATAAAAAGTTTGGGCTTCAAAAGTTCACACAATTAT